AGTAAAAATAATTATCTACAAAAATCCTATGGAGCTAGATAGAACTGATTGACTAGTGAAACAATTATTAAATAAAAAGAAATCTCAAAATTGTAGCTCGGTTCTCCAAGAGCCTATGTCTCTATCTGTTCATTTCCCAGAAATCTCGAGGAATGAGATTCTAGAAATGAGACTCATTGAGCCTAACAAAAGGAGTATTTCAAAAACCCAAGTTATTAAATGTAATTCACTTAATTAGAAAGTTTGATTGGACTTACAGATAGCTGCAGTGTGTTTAAAATGAGTAATTGGAGCCTTTTAATATTTCTAGACTTGGTAGTGATTTATCGCTATAATTATAATTCATTGTTTCACGATCCTAATTATCAGAAGAACTAATGCTTCAGACTTTTATGAAGTGAGGTGGGCCATAAATTAAAACTAACAGCACATTCAAAAGAACACATTTCATCCTGTGAGGTCACTTGACCCAAGTGCCCTTGTGTAGCAGGACATTTCCCCAGTGTTCGGGCTTACCTGAGATGATGAAGGATTCTCGCCACCGTGGGAGGGACAGGGACTGGACGCCGTTGGAATAACTCCCTTTATAGCCAGACTGTCCAGCTACTTTCCGAACAAGTATTTTCCCTCCTGAATTATCAAGCACACCACTATAAAGAGAAAAAAATTTTTTTCTTTGAAGAGCAGAAAAATTTTGTTTGACGTGATCGACAGACTATCCAACCAGCCTCCATCTTTATATAAACATATGAAAGATGATTAAGAAAAGGTTTCACCTTGACCTGCAGCCCACCCCTCCTTCTCATGGCCCAGCATCTGATCTCCCAGTTCAGATGTCATTCTTTTGCTTCTTACAGAACCTGATTGCTCAGTCAGGAATTTCTCTTTGTCACCATCCTTCATTTCCTTATTCCCACTCGTTCTTTTAAGAAAAACCTCTTTCCCGACAATTTCCAATTTGGTTTTGTGACATCACTGAATGATTCCAGTTATTTCAAAGGGTGATATGACACTTTAAAAAGCAAATTATTCCTTTTGTTTGGGCCCAGGAAGGAAGGTGTACAGTTAAATTAAACTGATTAAAATGAGCCCCCAAAGACTGAAACTGTTTCTTTAATTTATAGGATTTTGAAGGTTTTAGATCCTGACATGACAGTAACTGAAATATCTACCTCTTTCCTTTTATGTGAGGCAGGGGCTCCATTCTGGTTCCTAAATATCACTTTCATATTGTCATTTCCTCACCACAGAGGCTGAAACGGCTCCTTTGGGTATCTGTAATTTATGGCGCGGAGGAGCTAAAAACATACTTAGATTGTTCCCATCGACACCCTTCCTTCCCTCCAGAAATAAGAGTCGCCATTTCCTGCTCTCTCACCTTTATGGTGAGTCAACAACTTTCAATGCGCAACTTCTCAATGACCCAGAAGGAAAAAAAGGGATAATAATACTTGACATGTAAACCAGTGAATTGCTTTAAAATCATTCCCACGTATGGCATCTCCCTGGGCCCTCTCCGTAAACCTGAGTCGTGGAGTGGAGGGAATGCCGCTCCCAGTTCATGGAAACAGGCTTGGACAAGTCAGGCGACTCACTCCAAATTTTGTAACAAGTAAATTGCAAGGCTGTGATTTGAACCCAAGACTAACTGACTGGGAATCCTGGGTTTGTCCCCCTTGGTCATAGTTGTCTCTGAGGATTCAAAAGCACAGGTACCTCCTGACACTAACTGCTCATTGTTCCCTCACATCTTTGCAACTCTGCTTTCTCTTCTCTCAGAAACTCTCAGAATCAGAAACTCTCACTTCTCCCAGCTGCAGCCAGGCTGGTCTCAGCATCCCTGACGGACTACATGATTCTTACTCACGTGTCTCTGTTCATTCTGCTCTTTTTTGCTTTGGAGAACCTGTTTTCTACTTCTGCCTGACTAGGCTGTGTCACGTGTCCTTAACACCTTCTCCATGGAGATTCAGACACAAATTTGCTAGGCCCCTTCCTAGCAACACCTTAAAATCCTGTCTCATGACTGAGACTCTGATTTTATTTGGTCTTGTGCTATTTCCTAAAAATTTCTTGAGTAAATTTTATCTCTCAACTAGATTGGAAATTTTCTTATGGAAAGGAAAATGTTTTATGGATCCATATCAGAAGGCCCACCGGTGGTGTGCGGGCTCTGCTCATACTGGCTTTCGAAAGCCAATTGTTAAGCTTTTAGGACTGTGCAAGAGGATTCATTGCACATTGACATCTTGAAGTTAGCTATGGTGGGAGTATTTGTACCACAAAAATTGGTAAATCAGCAACCCCAACTTTTTTGAAGAGCCAGTTGTTAAACATTTACCAGTATTCCACTGGTGTAGGGTGAGAGTTCTAATTATTGAAAAGTAATTATCCCATGGTCCCTTATAATTAATGGGGAAAATAAACATAACTCTCTCCCTTTTGTTTTCCCCTAGAGAAATTATTCTGCCCTCGGATTTATAGTCCGTCATATTGAGGAAACGGGTGTGTACGAGCACACACTTGCTCTTGTTTACGAGAAGCGCTGTAGCTGCTACTCAGAATGAGGGAAGAGTCAGGGGAGGCTGCGCTGAGCTTCCCTCGGGCTGTTTGAAGGGAATGGGGAGGGCCCAGGGGGTTATCACGCTGCACTGGGCTGCTGATATCCTTGGTGAGGGTTTTGTAAGACTGAAAACCCAGACTTTGGGAAAGGGGCAGATTAAGGCCTATTGTGTTCCCATGAGATGTTCTGCTCGCAGAAGAGAGTGAAGCTTCATCTTGTGGACTTAACTAGAGGATGTGGATGTTCCCAGACATCTAGAGAAGGACAGACTGTGGAGAGGTCAGCAGTCCAAGGAGGAAAATGCACCAGACACTCCACCATCATAGGTGATAACTGGAGGAGGGAGAGAGTCCGAAAGAGGATGTGGTTCCACTTATGAACCATATGGGGGAAGAGCCATGGTAATTTGGAGAACTTCTATAAATATGACCTCATTTGCACCCTTCCTCAATTGGTGGTACTTCACATATATTCTCCGAAAGAGCAAATCCAATTCTATTTCTTAGTGTTTCTCAGACATCCTGCATGAGGCTGAACATGGCCTTGGGGTTTACCTCCTTCTGACCCTGGTTGCAGAGGACTGGGATAAACTGAGAGTGAGCTTCTTGGCTCAGAGGTAAGAGACTTGCTGCCCTTTTGAATTACTGCCATTTCCAGGAGGGCATCTGGTCAGAAATTAGCGGAAGACTGCTCTGCATGGAGATGGCCTCTTTACTGGCCCATCGCAGAGCCCTTCCCACTCCCCCCAGCACTTGGTCCCACTTTAAATACAGAGGTTAGTTCAGGACGAGACTGAGCCAAAACATGATGTCTCATATGTTCGTTATCCCTTTGGTTTGAAAGGCTCAAGGGAATCACTCATAAGACATCTGATTATGGTGTATTGTATGAGTATTCAATCCTTTAAGCTGAATATTAAATCTGATTGTCTAAACCATAGCATGCTCTCTCTAGCTTCCCAGTTCTGACTGTGGGGGGCTCTGTTAGGACAATGACAGGAGGTTCCACGCACACTTTCTATTTATGTTCTCTTTCTTAAATTCTGCCTTCTGAAAACAGACTCCGTTGTGAAAAATGCAACAGACAGTATTCAAAATTCCTCTCTGTTTTTGCTGAAGACCTCTAGTCATCCTCCCCATGGAGAGTGATATTTCTTTCCTGTTCTTTCAGACACCGGTCCAGGAAGCTACAATGGCACTACACTGTTCAAGTAGCAAATCTCGTTTTTTTGAAACATTCAAGCTCTCCTCCTCTGACTCTGTAACTCTTATCTGTATTCCTCCCAGCAAGTTACTAGACTCCAACCCAGCTGTTGGAATTGCTGAGTCCGGATCCTTGTCAATGCCCTTATTTTCTCCGCAGAGGTGTGTCCATCTATCATAAAGCCTTTGCCAGCTCTTAGCGCTCCAAAGTCCAGGTCCCCGACACATCCTCACTTTGTACAGTGCTGGGACCGCTTATTCGTATGTAAATGTGTTATCTAGGCTCTGGGCTGGAAGTCAATGGACATGAGTTCTGATCCTGAATGTACAACTAACTAGCAATTTAATTAACTTCCCTATGCCTCAGCTTCTCTTCTAATAAATGGGAATGCTAACGAGTCTTACATCATCTTGAGATGATGCTAGAAGGAGAGAATCATAGTGTAGGAATTACTGTCATTATGATGACATCTTTGGTGAGATCAAATTAACTCAGGTGCCTCTGTCCTGCACAGGAAACATAGACAGGCAAGAGAGTGCCAGCAAGTGCCAAAGGAAGCAAGTGCCAACCATCTCTAATCACAGTTGGAAAAAAAACAGGCAACTTTAAGACAGACTCAGCCTCTGCAGCAGACGTCAGTGTCTGCACAGACACAGACTGGGGAGAAGTCTGTGTGATGTGATGGAGCTGTCTGGGCAAGCACATATGTGTGCAAGGATGTATGTGAGCATGCACATGTGTACAAGTATGTGTGGGAGGCATGCACATGCATATGTGTGTAGATTTGTATACCCCTTTCTTTTCTGCATGAAATTGATTTCAGAGCAAAAGCAAAATATTTTAATTCCATAGTAGAGTTAAGAAACGACATTTAATGTTTTTCTTTCATATTCCATTACTTATCTTTAATAGAGCCTTCGTAACTCTGCTCCTGTTGAAAAACCATTTAGGTCAGTGATAGGGAAAAGAAGGGTATGGCCAAGAAAATCTACTAGTAATTCTTAAGTCTTATTTTATACATAGATTTTTTTTCTCACTGCCTCTCCAAATTTCAGAGAAGATATTGGCTAGACACCTTGAAAGGGAATGAATTTTATACCTTCTCCCCTCTCTCTGGCAAAGATATAACTGAATAATCAACTGACTGATGTAAAGGAAAAAGATACCAGAAGCCTGAATATTTCAGAGACTCCATCCAGTATCCGGTAGCTGAGCAATGACTCAGGAGCCATGTCTCAAAGCAGTGCTGGATGTTGGTTAGGAGCACGAGTGCTGGACTTGGGTTTGAGTTCCTACTCTGACACTAAGTTTTAATAGTGTGGCTTTAGAAAAGCTATTCGACCTCTTCATCTTCAAGATGTGAATAACAGTAGTAGGTACACAGAGGGCAATCGTGAGGGTTAGATAAGATAACATAGGTAACGCACTTGATGCATACATGTTAGCCTTGTTATCAAAGAAGGCTTATTAAGGCTTATTAAGTAAACACGCATTTCCTATGTTTGACTCCAAGCCTAAGACAAAGAGGCATGAGAATTCTGTGAAGGTCACTTTTGCCTCTTCTCGTTTAGATAGTGACTTAGTCTAAAGCATGTCATGCCTCCTGTTCTCTTTCCTGGATCCCAAACCAACAGCTGACCAAGCAGTACCACCTTTCACCCTCCTGCTCACTCTTCCTGTTCCATTTGTCTCAGGTGATCACCATAGCTGTGACATTTCTTCTCCAATCTTCTGGGCCTGTCTTAGTCAGGTCCCTATTATTTCCTTACTCAGCACATACAGGAACAACAAAAAAAATTCTTTACGTCCTCAAGGACTTTGGTTTCCTTGCCATAAACATGCAAGAGTAGAATTCTCCTCCCACCCTTGTTAAGGTGCCAAGAGAAGTCAGTCCTCCTTTCCACAGAGTGCTGTGAAAGGAGACCCAGGACCGTGCACCACTTCTGTGCAATTCCATGGACCAGGGGTGCCAGAAGAAATATAGGGTGCTCAATCAAATTTGTACATTTTTGTTAAATCAGGCAGCCCTGCACTGGGGCTCCCCACCCCCACCCTGATTGCTAGTTCTTAAGTAGCTCAGAGCTACCCACCTGTGAACAGCAGCGGCACACACGCTGGAGTAGGATGCATAGACATCTGTGCCATAAACGTGGTATTTGGGGTCTTGGCACCCTGCCGGACATTTCACAACGAACTCAGGATTGATTATCTTTCCAGCTTTGACATCACAGTTGATCTGAGGCACATCTGGGAATGCAAAATGAGCTCAAAATTATACCTTGTGGTTTAAGCTTATATATGGGATGACTCTGTTAGATCATAACTGTTTATTTATTTAATCTCTAAAAGCCAGAGCCTCAGATGCCACTAAATCTCCTCCATATAATGAAAGCAAAGATGTAATTAGGATATTCCTCAGTCCAAAAGAACAACAATGACCAACCATTGAAGTTAACTGCCGAGAGCAAAAACAAAGGGCTCATTCCTGTGTTTAAATGAACAATGAAATAATTGAAGATGAGAGCTGTGGGAGAAGACCCACCTCCAGTGGCCAGAAATATCATCTTGAGTCAATGGCCAGAGAGCCCTGGTGTTTCAGATGCTCTGGAGCTGGTCCAGGAAAAGAGAGAACTCTCAGACAACCTTACAGGTGGATAGGCAAACAAGGGAGCATAGATGTTGGGGTCAGGACTGGCCAGGACAAGGTTGGCCTGCTGCCCCAGAGGTCCTGCACTGGAGCCTGGTGGGAGGAAGGGGATTGGCAGGGCAGGATTAGATGGAGGAAGCTTGAGTACCTGTGTTCTGTGGGGATGTGGGATGCAATGGAAGATTTTTGAACAGTGGTCTTGGTCCTAGAGGTTGGCTCCTAGATCCAGACTCAAGTGGGAGTGATCTTTTCTCATCTGCCTCAATACTTGGTGGAAGGTTGGGAACTCCCCTGCTGAATACCCAGGGAAAGCTCATTCATTCTTATTCCTTCCTCCATTTTGGCTTTGTGACTGAAATTGCAAGGCTAGTACTGTCCAGGATAGCAGATGTCTGGAGTCGTCTGGAGCTGAAAGCTAGCCCAGGGATGAGGTGGGTAGATGCTCTAGTGGCAGTACCTGCAAGGAAATGCGGCTGCCTCTTCCCTGCAAAAAATTTCCCTCAAAAACTCCTGAAGGAAAAGGTCTCCCAGATAATACTATGTGGGTGTCCTTTGAACTGGAAATGTACTCCATTCTGGACCCCATTCTTCAGAGGGACTCTGAAGCATGAGGACAGTTCATAGAGGAAGCAGGCTCAGAAGGGGTCTGGAAACCCCCAGATGTGAGGGATGGCTGGCAGAAATGGGTTCTTTGGCCATAAGAAGGAGAGAATTTGGAGGCAAATAACAGTTGCCTTCATAAGTAGGACTGTTGTGTGCTATAACACCAGAGGGCAGTGTTAGAACTAGAGAATGGGGAGGCAATTTGGCCAAGCAATTCCTAGTAATTGAAGTTGCCCATTGGAAGGAATGGATTGCCTCATGAGCAGTGAATGGGCTGGAAGTATGCAAGCAAGAGACCCGAAGAGTTGAAGAGGGGATTTCCACATTGGGTGGGAGGTAGAAGTAAAGCCCCGCCCAGTGCTAAGGGTCTGTGATTACATGGATTCAGGATCTCTGCCAGGCCACCCACCCTCTAACTGGGTTACTGAGATGGTCTTAGAGTTGCTAATGGCTTCCAGCTGTATCCAAAACGCACACTTTTTATTTTAACCCTTATATACCTGAGTGGAGCAGAGTTGCATTTCATTCAGACTGGAGAAAACTGAAGTTAGAGGTCCTGCTCTTTTCTAAAACACCCCTCCCAGATAATCTATGCCGCTCTGGGCTGAGCCAGCATGGAAGTCTTCCTGGGAGCCCAGAGGCTGAGTGTGATCACAGGCTAAAACAATTTGTGGTCTACATTAAGAAGTGGAGCACTGTGCTTAAAACAGTTTTGTGGTTTCATTCTCCCTACCACAGGTTGCCTCCTCTCCAAAGTTATTTTCTTTTTGTCTTTCATTCTTTTAAATCCTGATGCTCAAGGCTGCATTTGCTATTTTGAGTCTTAGAGTTTCTTAGTTTTTTATTTTTTTTGAAAGGCAGTTTGGAGGCTGAAGATGCCAGTCTCTCCTTAAATTAGTTAATTGTTAGGTCTCTGGGTGTAACTGAATGTGTTTAGTTCTCCTTTCTGCAGATTGCTTCCCCACTCCCAAGTGTATCTCCTCCCTTAGATGGAAAAAAAAAAGAAAAGAAAAGAAAAGAAAGCATTCCTTCTTGGTTCTTAGTTATTTGAAATAGGAAGGAACAAGCTCTGTGAACTAGGGCTCAATTTGGATGTAACTTTGGCTCCCTAAGATTGTGGATCTCCTGGCAAGACAGCCTGAATCTTTTGGAGTTGAGTAAGTGGCCATATCTAGAAGCTGACTGCATGAGCATTATACAGTAATTAAACCTATTGAAAGCCTGCAGGGTGCACACAGCACATGCAGTAGGATTTTCCATGAAAATAGTTGATTTAAAAAGACAAGGAGAGAAATGTCACATGGGAATATTTTCTTCCTGCTAATCACTTTCCCCTCCCTTTCCTCTAAGGAGCATTTGTGTTTTTGTTTGTTTTGTCTTGCTTTTACAGAGGCCTGAGAAGTAACTAAAATAAGATCTGCTTTATCTGCACCTTCTGAATTAGCAAAATTGGTGGATCAACTTGTCCCACAGGGGATGGGAGGAAGGTGAAATGAAACCAAGTGCATACGCTTACGTACTTTGGAAAAACAGTGTGATGGCAAAGTGAGGTTAAAGGTCAAATATTTGTTAAATTTGTACAGAATATCAAACTGGAGAGAGTGAGCTAATTAAAATTGTCAGAGAAATTGCCCCAAACACTGGAAATATAATGTCTAAATCCAGCCAGGAAGAAGCAGCCATTGGCATCTTTTTGACAGCTCTTCTTTGAGTATACGGAAGCCAGTTTATTTATTTACAGTTATTTGTGAAATACTTTGTTGTCTTGTAACCTTCCAAGAATCTTACGTCAATCTACTTAAGGCCCAAATTAAATGATTTATGTTTGCATTTCCTCTGAATAGCTTTGAGCTACTCCATCTTACAGCTTAGGCTTTCCTTTTCTCTTTCTTTCTCTTTTGGTGCTTCGGCTCATTTTCATATCTCCCTTCCTCCTTCTCTGGGTTTTATCTCAAAAGTGCAGAAATAAGACTTCTTTAAGAGGATAAAATTAAGGCAGTTCATGAAGTATCATTTTTAGGTCTGAAGGGAGTAGGAAGACATTTGGCAAATGCCAAACAGAGAGTTGGGCACTGGGTGGGGTGCTGTGTCCCCACTATTAACTTCAGGTGAGAACTTTTCAGAAGCCATAAAATGGTTTACCACCAGGAACATTTAGAAAAAGCAAGAGAGACTTTCCCATTCATTCCTGAGTGGACAGTGCTGGTGGCAGTGAGGGAACCCTGGGCTGAAGTCACAGAAATCCTGGAAAAGCTAGAACTACTGTGATAGAACCTTTGCACAGAGACCTGTTCCTTGGCCATCTGCTCTGCTTCTCCCTCACGTGATCCCTTGAGGTTACCTTGCCTTCCCATGGTCAATGTCACTTTTATGATAGAGCTCACGTTGGTGTCTCTCAGAATCCACCAAGGATTTCTTCTCAGAGGCTCTTGGCACCAGCCACAGGGAAAAGAAAAGAACCACTTGCAACCCAGATGCTTAGAACTGTAGGATAACCTATAGATGCTGCTCACCGAGGCACTGTGTCTGCCGTATTTATCTCAGAGAGTTCCTGGGCAAAACTGGTACTATCTCAGCCACCATTTTCATGCAATATTGGAATCATAGAAGCAGAACTGCAAATGTTTGTTCTGGGTTGGGTTTTCTGCCTGGTCTTATAACAGAGTGATTATTGGGCAGTGTCACATACAATCAGCCAATGATGTAGCAAGCCAAATGAAACTGTATACTCTAGCTCTTATTTTGCCATTCATCATTTCAATGATCCCAGGCAAGCCACATTGCTTCTGGAAAATAAATTTCCTAATCAATTCGAAAAGGCCACTGTATGTACATTTGCCTCCTGGATGTTAATGAGGAAGAATTATTATGACATACAAGCACTTATGCATAAACAGTTTTGATATTAACTGATTTTGTTGGACTGTGATATTCAACTAGAGTAAAATCCTATTTTAAGAGAATTATGCAAAAAAGTTAGCTTAACAAAGCAAAAATGACCATTAAATAAAATTAGAAGATGCATGCTTCCTTCTCTTTGATCTCGATACCCAGTGATCAGATCACGTTAATTCTTCCTTTGTAGGGACTTTTCGCAGAGCATGCTTTTCCATTTTTCTTAAGCAGTCTTTGATCACTTTCGATTCGACTAAAATTGAATCTTTGGTCAAAAATTATCAGTAGCTTTTTTGCTGCTTTCACGAAAAATTCCAAAATCCTTAAGGCTTTTCCAGAGTCCCCTCTATGGAACGTCTGGGTTTGCCACTACTATCCCTAGTACTTTTCAAATAAATCTTATTTTGCAGACTTGGCTTGTATCATTTCTCACACCTAGAGTGCTTTTTCCTTATCTGTTTAAATTCTGATACTTTTTCGATGTTTCATTTATATCTTCGCTCATCTACTAGAATATATACTCCATGAGGGTAGGGATTTTTGTCGGTTTGGTTTACGCGACAGAATGTCTGCTGAATGATTGAATGAATGAAACCAATCCATTAGCAAGTCCTGTTAGTTTTATTTCCAAATCTGCTATTTCTCTCTACTTCCACCGTGGTCCATGTCACTGACATGTCTGGACAGTTAACACGATAGCTTCCTATCTTGTCTTCTTCCTCTCACGTTGTACATTCTTTGCCCCAGCCCTTTCTACATTGAATAGCCAGTGTGATGCTTTAAAAAATGTAATCGTATTTCATGATTCTCCTGTTTAAAACCCCTCATTAGCTTTCAATTGCCCTTAGGATAATGTCCAAGCTCCTTAAGATGGCTTATAAGGCCCTAAGGATTTGCCCCCTAAAGTCCTCTGTACTTAATCTCTTAACACTGTTATTTGGATGAGGAAAAGATGACAGCCAGTAAAGGCCTGGAAGAAGGACCTTCCAAGCTGAAGGAAGAGCCAGGGCAAAAAACTCAGCTGTGAGAACGAGGTTGGTGGTTTGAAGAACATGAAGAAGGCCAGTGTGCCTGAAGCACAGTAAGTGAGAGAGAGAGGGAGAGATCTATGATAAGTTTTGGGAGGTAAGCAGGGGTCAAATCACATGGGCACTAGACAAATTAATAGTTTACCAAGATATTGATAGTTGTTTTTTACTAGAACTCTTCAGGACTATACAATATTCTTTTCAGAAGAAATTTCTTGAAGAGCCTGCCTGGGTTAGAGGCTGAGCTTTCAAAGGCAGTGCCTGGTGTGGTACCCCTTGGGGTGGAAACTTTAGGCATGGGGCTTCCCCACGTCTGCCGAGATCTCATCCTTTAGGAAACAATGGACTTGCCCGACATCCAGAGATAACACAGGCTTAGACACTGAGCAGTGCAGGGGACCTCCCTGAATGCTCTAGACTGCACAAGGCATCCAGGGAAGAAGGAAGTTCCTGTCATGGTGGAATTTGACTTTCTTAGTCCCTGGCAATTGGCAGTTTGCAGTCAGACTAGATTTGATTTAGAAAATAAGGTGATGTGATAAGTCAAGTGTGGCAGAGTAAAACTGTACTCAATACAACTGTGTAGGTGAAAGCAAAATATTAGCCAGTAATGAATAGTCATACATGAGTGGGAGGAGTAGAGCTGTAAGAATGCATTCCATTTATTTTCATCTTTGCTTTCCTCTTTGTAAAACCCCCATGCGGGGTTATTTTCAACATATACTACCTTCCAGGACCAAAGGGCTCCCAGTGGAGATAAACAATGCCCGTGAGGATCACTGGGGGCCATGAGCAGACCAAAGAAGTGGAAAGAGGGAAGAGACGATGACAAGGAAAAGAAATAAAAGAGAAGAGGAAGTAGGGAGGAGAGAAAGAGACAATGACCCAAAACAACAGTGATGCTCTGCGTAGACAGAATAGATGGCACTGGTATGGCACATGGTCTCAGGACAAGCCAAGGGAAGATACTCATCCCGGTTCTTCTTTTTCCCATTTTCCTTGCATCTCTTTTACTTTATTTCCTGCTTGGTTAGCCCTTGATCTTTCAACACCTTCATCTGCCTCGAGGCAATAGGGACTTCATTCCTTAGTTCTGGCTCACTTGGGAGGGAGTATTGGGAAATTGTCTGGGGTTGAATCTCACGTGGACCTGAGTTTCAGATCTGGCTCTGCCAACTTGTTGGCACCGTATCTTGGGCACGAGATCCTCAAGAGTCAAGAGCAGTGGCACATGTGTAGTAGGGGTCAATGAATCATCTGTTGACCAGCACTCTCAAACTGCCTCCTCGTTATTTTACCCTCGCTTCTCTGAGTGGTGAGGACTTTTATTCTTGAACAAACACTGATGAATATTGAGAGTTGGTTAGAAGAGTGGTCAGAGGACACTGAATGTGGTGAGTTCACATTCCTATCTTCAAGCCGCTCTGATCTCGGTTCCCTCTCTAGTCCACCACTTCTCAAATTTTATTGGGCATCAGAATCACACAGAGATTCTATCTTCTACTTTACTGCATAAATCTGTTTGCAATACTTGGTAGACACTCTCATCCAAACCGTACATGCAGGTAAATCTGTAATACTTACTCACTGATAAATTGTGTCTTCTTTCTTCTTTTTTGATATTTTGGATTCAAAAGGTTTTTTTTTGTTGACGGGATTATTTTATTTCCCTAACACAACCCTATCCACTGTACATTTCTGTGAGAAACACTGTGCCAACCTAGGCTGATGCAATTAGATTACCTCCCGCAGGAATTTGAGATCAGATCTGAGAGACCTGATCTGGGCGGGACAGGGAGGATACAGAGAGAAACAGAGGCTGCTGTTCCTGCCTTGGGTTCTGCAAGCTACCCCATGTCCTGCCCAAATCTCCTTTCTTTGCTTAAGCAAATTGGCCTTGGATTTCTGCTAACTGCAACCAAACTTACCTGCACTGAGATATTCCCTGTTGCCTTCATGCTGAAGTCCAGATTCCTGGCCACAGTAACAAAGCTCTTCAGGATCCAGTGCCTATTTATCCCTCCATCTCAACTCAATACATTCACTTCCTGCTTTATATTTCAGTCATATTTAGCTATTTTTAGCACTTCCTACTCTTTAAGACTTGGGCATGCTGTTTTTTCACTGCTTGTAACACTCCTTCCTCCTCATCTTTGCCTGGCAGGTCCCTATTTGGCCTTCGGATATCAGTATAGGTATGTTACTTCCTCCAGGAAGCCCTCACAGCTACACAGCTGCTTCTCCATATTCTCAGTGTACCTTAAGCTCCTGAGTCCTAGCACCAACATAAGACATCATAGTTGCCTGGCGACTTGTCTTTCTTCCTTCCTCGATTTTGAGCTCTGTGAGGATATAGACTGAGTCTTCATTGCTGATGCAGCTGGGTGTCAAACACAGTACTTGGTACTTGGCTGGCACCTAATAAATGCTTGTCAGGTGAATAAATGATGTGCCTCCCTTGCCATTAGTCGCCTACCCCAGCGGCAGATTGACAGTGTTGAGTAGAAAAAATGAAAACTACTTTGGCCTCAAGCTATAGACTATAATTTGGAAATACTCCTGAGGTAAAGAATCTGATATTGCCATGGTTTGGGAATATCCTATTACTTTCATTGTCTCTTTCCCCCTCTTATTTAATGATTGTGCCAGAGTTTCTAATTAGAGGAAAGGCCTTATGCGCTTATGAATTCAAATGTGCTGTATCACTAGGGAGATTTTAAGAATAAGGTTAGAATTTAGCATATCAGAAATTCAATCTATTTGAGATCTCTCAAAGAGGTTTGCTCTTGGGTCATTTAGCACAGACTTTCATAGTCACTGAAAACTGTTGTCATGGTAATCATGGAGCCTTTCATGATTTCTGTATATGAGTTAATGAAGATACTAGAAACAGCCCAAAGGAATTCACACTTGGGCTTGCATTTGTCTTCATATTAACCCAATCATTGTTTTGAACACACATCTGTCCCTGGGCCGATTTTCTTGGCTCTTGGTCTTGACAGGAATAAATAAACAACTGATTCCTTTTTAGTATTTCAGGCTGGGAGGCTGTGGATGGCTGCCCTTTTGGTCTCATTTCAATGGAAATCTCACATGGAGGATTTAAAGGAGCAAAAGAAAAAGAGAATGCTGTGTGAAGCAAATCTCTTTATCTCACATTGTTCATTTTGCTGATTTCAAGGCACCTAAATGTAATGCCTATGAAGAAGTTTCCGTTGTGGAGAGCACAGAACACTGACTATATCTGAAGACTTTCTTTTATGGTCCTTTCTAAACATACCATAACTCTAGCTTCCATCAAGTCTACAAATTTAGATCCAGATACCTCAATGTTCTCACAACATTTGAGTATGAGATTTCCCATCTATGTCCTGTCCTGCTAGTTACCTCCCAATATCTATTCTCCCTTCTTTTCTAGTAATAGAACCCCTTACTTTTAGCTAGGCTTGTGGATGCTTGAAATCAAGATGTTTCCCATCCTCCCTTAATGATGGTCAGTGGTATTTAGGTAGAAGAGGTGTATTTGACTTTCTGGACTTTAAAGAGAATGGGTATATGCCCTTCATCCCTTCCCACTGATTGAAATGTAAACATGAGGTATGGAGCTGAGGCAGCCATTTTAGACAAAGAGTTGGGACCACATTGAGAAAAGTGGAAGGACAAGACAGAGGAGTCTGGGTCCTTGAGGACTGTGAAGCTTTTATAAAAGCTCAGACTGTGCTTACAGGAGACAGAGAGAAACTTCTGTCTTATTTAAGCAACTGTTATTTTGTGTTTTCTGTTATCTAATCTTAACTGATATACCACCCCAAAATGAAATTTATTTTTCCTTGTTTCCACTGATTGGGCGTGACACCTCATGAGCTTTCCTGTGAGATTTACCTTCTGATTCCAGGGCGTACTGGAAGGTGGGCAGGACCTTTGTATTAGACAGACTTAATTTTCTGGTATGGGGAATTGAGACATCCTTTCAATGGCAGTAAAATATCTATTCCAGATTAGCCATAGAGACATAGCGTTGCCTCATCTTTGTATGTGTATTTCTAATTTTTCTAGTGTAGTGAAACCATATATCTTTCACCCTAAAATCAGGACTCCTATCTCAAATGCTTTTTGGAGTGAGATAGGTGATAAATAAGAATCACTACTAATTAGTCTGAGTGTAAAGTAATTGATATAAGAAAAAGGACAAAACCAAAAACAACCTTCCAAATTATCAAAAACAAGTGTAACAACCCTCCACATGGGAGACATAAACCATGTATCAGTGAGGAATTATAATTTTACTTACTGAATTTAGGCCTTTTAATCTTTGTCATTTCTTTATTTGAATGTATTCCAGTCACCAGCAAAACTACAGAAGAAGATACACAAACAAGAAAAGCCTAATTAATATCATTTCACTAAACACTTTCTCTGACCATTGTATTTGCCTCAATCACACATTAAAGTATTCTCTTTGGTGAAACTAATTTCCCCATATATTAAGATTAGGAAATAAGATGCATTGTTTGTATATTTAGCCTCTCTTGAAAGGGTCTTTCAGAAATACCTTTTGGATAACTGTCCTTTGTTTTGCTGTCTTTAAATTTCCACACACCAATCCTACTACCTCCATTTTCCAAAGGAGGGAATGTGATTAGCTTGGTCCCAGGAATGAATGACAGAGACAGGATGAGCACCCAGACCCTTCTGTGTTCTTTCCCCTGTGCCACACTGAGTTTCCACGTGGCCAGAGAACTGCGTGTGCGTCTGTGTGCGTGTGCGTGCACGTGCGACAGAGGGAGGGCTGCATGGAGGGGATGTGTAAAAAGCCCCAGAGGAGGGCCATCTGGGAGAAGGAGACGAGGAGCACAGGGACTGCGAGGTAGAGGGAGACTGGTCATCAGGTCTGTGGTGTGACCTGCATGCCCTGGTGGCCCAGCTAGCAGCACCTGATTATGCGTCCCACAGAGGTCAACTGCAGATAGCTGAGCTTCCTTCTCAGAAACAGGAGCAGAACCTCAAGCAGCATTTGGAAACTGCTCTCCTTCAGGAAGCGTGACTATAGGGGAAGAAGGGGGCCCTCTTTATCCTTTTTAATTTTAAAGTTGCGTTACCCGTTTGGGCCTTGTGTTTTTAAAAAATAACATTCACTGATTTTATTACCGAAACAATACACATTCTTTGTAGTAAAAATATAAAAAAAACACAAAAAGAAGGATAAAATATATGGATGAACACAAAACTATTTTTAGTCTTTTTTCTATGTATAAATTTATTCATATGGGTACTTTCAAACAAACATTCGATCATGCTCATACTGTTTACAATACTTTATACTTATTTCTACTTATTTCTGCAAACTTGTTTTGTCATTAAATGTTACTCTCACAATAATTTTAATTGCCTGCAAAGCATTGTATTATATGCATGTATTGTGTAATTTAATCAATCTCCAATTTAACATAAACAAATCCATCTTCGCACTGATCCATTATCATTTCCTTAAAATAAATCTCCAAATAGGTTTTCTTGTCTGAAAGCTATGCCCACTTAAAATTTTGATATATATTCTGAAAATTTCTAATAGCAATTTTTTTTTTATTAGCGATGTCTGAAAAACCTCACTTCTCTGTACCTATACTAATTCTACCAGTAGACAGAAAAGCAGTGTGGTTTGTTGTTGCTGTTGTTGTTTTGTTTTGTTTTGTTTTCAAAAGGCTAGTCAATTCTCTATTTGTCTTCTTTACTCTCCGGGCATTCTTCCACCTTACCCACCAGAAGCTGGTACTGCTTTAACTCACTCCATTTCAGCCATTTTTCTGAGAAACCCACTTTCTGGATGGAGTTGGGTCTGGAGGTGAACATGAGGCAACAGAATAATCAAAATAGGTATTTTACTTCCTAGTTTGTGTGTGTGTGTGTGTGTGTGTGTGTGTGTGTGTGTGTGTGTGTTAACAGAACACAGATGCTCGATTTAGGGAGGAATCAACTTAGGAATTCTCGAATTGGAAACTATCTTTAAAATAAAATTTGGCAGTGTCACCAGTGTTTGTTTGTTATGAAAACTTTGTATCTTCTGGTTTTCTAGCTAATTTGTGCCAATGGTGCAGCTACTGAATTATCCCCAATTTTGACTACTGGCATTAGCGGAGACCTTGGACAGTTGACATACCATGTCCTGTATTAACAGAAACATGAAAGAGAAGTGAGTGAAAACCAAAAGTCTAGCCAAGCAGAATGAAAGTGGACATTTTTTAGGTGTTATTTACTTCTGGGGTTTGGGTGGGTGTGAGTGTCCTGGAGGTCTAATTTTTTATAAGAGTCTCTGTGTCATTTAATTCTGTGCCCAGACCATATTTTCATTTTATACACAAAAACAAACACCTAGAATCCTAGAATATTTTTTAAAAACAAGTACTAAATATATAGAAAAAAATCATGCGAGGTAAGTAGACGGTATAAGTGAAATAGTAATAAGTTTGGGTATCCATTTTTGTGGAAAACCAAATCCTGTCCTGGACCTGTGTGTCTGTGGCAAGTGGTTTATAAGTCTCAGTATCATTAGGACCATAAATATTTCAGTAAGACCACCCCATCACTCACATTTGCTCACTCAAGACCCTCTGGCTGAAAACCATAGCTGGATTCACTTTTACAGCAGTGGTTAATAAAGTCATTATTTTCAATGGTACACAGGGGCCCTCCCCTCAGCTCAGATGCTTGTTAATTAAAGTTTCGCAGAGATCACTCCTCAAGGGACTGGTCAGTAAGGCTGCAATGCGCTTGTGCCCTGGAGCAAGTCGTCATTGCTAGACTTTCAAGACCTCTCTTGCTACGTTAGAAATGGTGAATTGCATTTGAACTTGGGTGAGAGAAAATTCAGTCTTGTGTGTGCCTTTCCTTAGAAAGCCAGTCAGAGCATTGAGATGGCTGATGCTCGCTTCAAAGTACAAAGTGAAACATAGGTGTGAAAGCCATTCACTTCTTTAGGAGTAGCTAGTTATCTGGCTCCCAAGGCCATTCATGTCTAGAAGCCTTGAGGAAATTATATCTAGACACCAAAGTTCCAAGGCAATCATGATTTACCAGCTATGCTGCAGTACTTCTCAATTGTTAAGGATTTAGTATTCCAGTTTTGAATAACGTGAAGAGTTTTCACCTTTTACTAGTAGTGCTTGAAATTTCAAAACATTGAAATTACTTTTTCCAATAAAAAACTTTCCCCACTTCTCTCTCTCTTACTCTCTAGTGTGGTCATCAGTACAGTGAAGAGACCTGAGGTGTAATTGTTTTCCAATTCAATTTAAATAAATAATCACTCAGGTAATTTATAGATGGAGAACATATAAATAAATTAGCTTGAAACAATGTTCAGTTTCATTAATGATAAAAAGTGTAAGCTAAGGCAAAATAGCTAGATGTTTTCCTATATCATATTAGTAAATATTGAATACAAGACTAGACTTAATCCTGACACAGCTTTGGGGTCAGGGCGCTCCAGTCACTTTATAGAGTCTAAGCAGGTAGAGTCATTCTGGAAAACTTTGGGAATGTATTTCAATGACCTTAAAAAATTTATATTTTTTGTCTTAGAATGGATACCCCTAGGAATATGTCCCAAGTTATAATCAGAGATGTAGACTAGATTTATGTAAAAAATGTTCATTACAGCATTATTTCTAACGGCAATCTGGAAATCATAAAATATTGGAAATGTTCCAAAAGTAGGGGAATCCTAAGCATTTATTACAAATGATATGTAGAAGGATATTTGATGAAATGAGATATGCTCAGCTCTAATCCTAAGAATGATTCTGACAAAGTTATATGTAGAGAGAAATTACTGGAACGAATATACCAAATATTAATAATCCAATGATTGTGGGCAGAATAATTATAATGTTATATATGTCTATTTTTCTCACTTAAAAATATATTTCTCACATATATTCTATACTTTATATAGAATGTTTCTTTAACAATTAGAAAAAGTCAACATAATTGTTGTTTAATTTGGTCATGTTGAAATCATATATACTTACAATAACGAAGAGTGCTTTCTAAAATCATTGGTATGGTTAATATGAACTTGTGTTCCAGTTTTCCTGTCAGTAATGAGTTATAATCAAACCATTTACTTTCAAGAAAAGATTTGAAGTGCCAAAACTTCTAATCAATGATCAAATCAGTGAGTACTTACTGAATACTTATTATGTGTCTCTGGAACCTTTCTAGAAATGCCTCATTCTAGCCCATAAATTTCTTGTTAGATCCTTTTAGAGCCCCTCAAGATACTAACTCCGGTGGTGTTGACAAGGATTCTCTCCTCGACCAAACTTTAGTCGGGTTCCTCTAAGCCCTCTTCTCAACTAGTCTTTGCCCTTGGGCTTCAGCGTCCATCCTTGTTGGACCTGCATTGCCCAGTTTCAGCAAGAATCCTGTTTAGAGCGTATCCTGTGCCCTCGATGTCTGATCACTCTGGTCTACCTTTAGCAAGGAGGCCGTTAAGTTGCTTCACCAAGAATCCCCCTACCCTTGATGTCTCCTCTTAGTAATTTCCATCCACTGATCCCTGTGACCTCCTCCTTGGCTATAAATCCCCACTTTCCTTGTTGTATTTGGAACCAAGCCCAGTTCTGTACTGAGGTCTCTTTTCCCTAATTGCAAGAGTTTATGATTAAAATCTGTTTTTACTACTTTAACCACTGTCCAACTCTGATTTTCTTTAACAGAGTCCACAATGCCTTCCTGAAAACATTTATAAAGCAGATCATTTGAAAGCAGTTTAAATTTCCCCCATGCTTTAATTTGGTCTTACATACTCAATGAAATGTCTAACATCAAATACATCTGAGCTTCATAGCAAAGACAGGACAACATTGTCTATAATCACATAAATCATAAAATTATGCTTCAAATTGTATAATCTTAAAGCTGGTTGGAGTGTTGCAAGTCATCCCTTTATTTTATAAAAAAGAAACCAAGGACAAGGTTTACACCTTGGCTAAAGCTACAGTTCTTTGGGGACAGAAGTTAGATGTAGAATGCAAGTTTGCTGGCCATAGCCTTTGCCTCATCATTCTACTTGCTCCCCATGAGTGCAGTCATTGATTAGACGTGGTGCTCCAATGATAGTGGGCAGCATAAAACTCTGCTATGTCATAAATTTAAATATATCTGAGCAACCGTGCTAGATCTGATATATATTAATTAAACAATTAATTGACATTAGCTAAGAGAGCTTTTGGGGCATCACTGGATAGCTATGTGATGTTGTGATTTATAATAAATATATATATTTTCATCTTCTGGCTGCAGTTCTGGCCATAATTCTGGCTTGCAGCTTCTGAAACCCTTGAAATTTCCTGA